TGTGGCTTGTGCTGTTGTCCACTCAGATTACATGTTTCTATTTCCCTACCAGGTCACGTGCTCCCCAAAGACAGGAATCTCATTTCACCTCCGACACCCACTCCTCACCCACAGCACTGGTGTGGGCACACAGCATTTGATACACGCATGTTTAATGTACCATAGAAGGCTGGGGCAGGAAGGAAACCTAGAGCCTTGTTCAAACCTCTTATTTTACAGAAGAGAAAACTGGGGGAGACATGGAGCCCAAGGCCACATGGTAGCCATGCCTGAGTAAGACCCAGGTCTCCTGGGCCCAGCCTGGCGTTCAATTTCCTGGGTTTTGCAGGCAGCATTGTGAGTTCACGGACACATGGGATTTAAACCACATCCATTTCAATTTCCCTGTTGACTGTTTTGTAAACAGAGCCTACAATGTTAGTAGGAGGAGACAGTTACCAAACAGGGAAGCTAACGGAAAAAGAAGATAATTTCAGATAGCAAGTGTGCTCTGAAGACAATAACAAAAGAATAGGGTAGGAGGTGGCTGGGATGGAAAGCTCCATGGAGGGTGGTCAGGGAAGGCCCGTGCAGGAGCAGAGAGTTCAGCTGAGACCCAAGGGAAGAGAAGGAGTCACGCACACGAAAATGGTGGTAGAGCATTCTAGAGAGGAAACAGCAAATGCAGACTCTGTGGCAGGAGGAGCCTGGGTGGTTTCAGAGCAAAAGGAAAAAGAGAGGAGAGAGGTAGGAGATGGGACATCTGCAGGGCTTTGGCACTATGGAAAGGAATTGGAATAAAATCCAAAGGCAAAGCATAAGCAAAATGTGGCATATTCACACAATGGAATATTATTCAGCCTTTTAAAAAGGAAGGAAATCCTGACACTTGCTGCAATATGGATGAACCTGGAAGACATGCTAAATGAAATGAACCAGTCACAAAAAGACAAATACCCCATGGTTCTACTTATAGGAGGTCCCTAGGGTAGTCAAATTCTTAGAGACAGAAAGCAGAATGGTGGCTTCCAGGGCCCTGGGGGAGCCGGGAATGGGGAGTTGTTGTTTAATGTGTTCAGAGTTTTGGTTTTGCAAGACGAAAAGAGTTCAGGAGATGGATGGGGGTGATGCTTGCACACAGTGTGGATGTACTTAACGCTACTGAACTGTACACCTATAAATGGTTAAGATGCAAACTTCGTATCCTATGTATTAAAAATAAAAAATCCAAAAATAAGAGAAACTCTCAGTAGAGGGCTTTTAATCAGGGTGGTGACATGATGTGATTTGTATTTTAAAAATCTCCCTCTATAAAAGTCATTTCATTGTATTAATACATTTTCTCATTTAGGACAATGACAGATTTTTCTCAACAAGCAATCATGAAATATTATAAACTATGATTTCTCCTTCTTCTATATGGGGGTTCACTTAGTATACAAAACTGAGATGAGGCCCCTTCTCCTGGTATTATACAGTGCTAATTGGTTCTATCCAGAATCTTAAAAGTAAATTTTCCTTCTAGTTCATTTCTATAGAGGATCAATTGCTCTGCAGTTTCAGAACTGACTAAAAAAGTATGATCTGATTGGAGTCACTACTAATTGCCATTACTTGGTTTACTTAGAGTTTTTTGAGTAGCTAGGAGTTTTGGAATTTCAAGGAAGGAAGTATGTAGCTCATAGCTGGAGTTTGGGTGACAGCTACCACCAGTGAGGAGAAAAAAGACCTCTAAATTTTAGGATAATGAAAACACTCTGTGTGATACTGTAATAGTGGATACATGTCATTATACATGTCTAACCTATAGACATATATACATTGCCTAAACCTATAGAATATACAACACTCAAAGTGAGCCCTAATATAAACTATGGACTGCGGGTGATAATGATGTGTCAATGTAGGTTCAGCAATTGTGACAAATGTACCACCCTGGTGGGTGATGTTGATAATGGAGCGGTGGTGGGGGGGGGAGCGGTTATCGTGTATGGGAAATCTCTTTACCTTTCTCTCAATTATGCTGTGAACCTAAAACTGCTCTAAAAAAAATTAAGTCTTAAAAATAATAACCCCTGACTTTGATGCATTGTGTATCATTCTCAGAAGTTAGGACAGGACTACCAGGACAAGGCGTGTGTTCTTGTCAATATCATATCATGAGTCTATTGCCAATGGATGATTTAGATAGTTCTTGAATCTGTTCTTCATCTATTTGTGTCTACTCCCAGCCCTTAAAAGATACTCCTATGTAGTTTCAGTTTTGCAAGATAAAAAAGGTCTGGAGATCTGTTGTACAACAATGTGAACACTACTGAACTACACAGTTGAAAATGGTTATGATGCTACATTTTATATTATCTGTCTTTTACCATAATTAAAATTTTTTTAAAAAGATCCTCTAATGTCAACTAGTGTTCATTAATGTATCAATAAGTAGCAGATTCTGCCTTTGCCTATTTTTCCTCTTTCCAGTCTAAGGGCTTATTTATTTAACTGTTTTCATTAGAAATTCTTACCACATCAAAAGAATGTTTTGTTTTATTTACAACCCTAACAATTAACCATCGGAACAAAGGCACAATCACAAACACAATAGCTCAATTTGTCAGGTTCAACTAATGTCCTCTGCAGACGCCAACAGTCTCAGAAGGATGGCAGTCATCCCCCAATCCTGCTACCACAGGCACTTATCATGTAGCCCTGGGTCTGTTTTGGCCACAGGATTGACATCTGGGCAGGAAGCCATGACATCATAGAGTAGTGACAGGAAGTCTCTGGCCTTCAGCCTGATTTTCCCCTACACATGGGGAGAACCGAGAAGTGGCCAGAGCTCATCATTGCAGAGATGCAACATGAAGCAATAACTCAAAGGCCACAAGGGGGGAGGGTGAGTCCACACAGGCAAGTGGTCTTTGCACCTGTGTCTCTTTCAGGGTTAGTCTTAAGTCTCCTACTTGATTTGTAGCTTGCTCTGTGTCTATGTATCTTTCCTTCCTGCTCCTTCCCTCTCCTCTAAAGGGCCTTACTTTAGAAATGACATATCAAAGAAATGTTTGTTCTGTTTATTGAAATACAATGTTCTGTTCTGCATGAGATTTGTCCCCGTTAGCAGGAAAGAAAATATTTGTGGCTTTATACTTATGTAGCCCTCTCCTGCTATATTTTGGTGTGAGTTAGTGGCCCTCCTATAGGAAAATGTTCCCCTCACCTGCACTAAAGGCTTTGAAACCTCAGACACATCTCAGAGTTCACGGTGTCACAGGACCCAGGACTTGATGTAGGGGGAGGTGCCGACTCAGCTATTTGCTCACAGATTTTAGCTCCGCTGTGTGTGAGAGGCGATGCGGGGCACAGAGCTGGGCAGAGCTGATGCTAGGAAGGTGCAGTGCCACCAGGCTGCACTTCAGAACCAGCAGGGGAGCTGTAAGGAAATGCAAAGTGGAGTGTGTGCACGGGGAGGATCTGTATTTTTCCAAAGCTCACAGGACTTGTGCTGGAACCACTGCAAAGACACAGCGAAGCACGTAGAAAGCAATATTATTAAATACTAATATTTCTAAGTCATCTTAGAAAGTGCCATAAAGCCATGGCCCTGAGAATGGCAGAAAGAGGACAGGAAAGGAGGTACAGGTATTGAGAAAACAGAACCCACTGGTGAGGGGTGTAGGACAGTGAGAAGCTGTGGGTGACATGGGTGACAGTATGGACTCACTAAGACAAGGAGGAGAAGCTAGGATGGGGCATGTGCTGAGCTTCATGGGGGCCACTGAGTGTGAGGTGTCCTGGGACACCAGGTGGGGCTGGCCAGGGTGCAGTCGAATATTCAGGTTTGGATCTCCCATGTGGGGCTGGGCCGGAGATAACAGAACTCCCACCTGAACTGCAGGAAGTGAGGACTTTCTTCAGTGGCATCTGCCAGGGCCAGTAGAATTTCTGCCTGTGGAATCTCCACAACCCAAGAAGGCCAAGTGTGGAAGGCAGAATCCCGGCCCCTCAAAGAGGCCCAGGCCCTAATCCTTGAACCTGTGAATATGTCATCTTGCATGGCAAAAGGGACTTCGCAGAAGTGATTAAGGGCCTGCAGACAGGGAGGGAATCCTGGATTATCAGGGTGGGCCCAATCTAACTCCACGAAGCCTTACAAGCAGAGAGCCTTTCCTGGCTGTGGGAGGGGGAGCTACGACCACGGAAGGATGGTCGGAGAGATGCGGTGTCGCTGGCTCTGCAGAGGGAGGCAGGGGCCAGGAGCCCAGGCACGTGGCAGCCTCTAGATGACGGAAAAGGTGAGAAAATGGATTCCCCTAGAGCCTCAGGGAAGGGACGCAGCTCTGTCAACACTCGATTTTAGCCCTGTGAGACCCGTGTCCAACTTCTGCCCTCCAGATCAGTAAGATAATAAATTTGGGCTGTTTGGAGCCGCTAACTTTGTGATAATTTGCTACGGCTGTGATAGGAAACCAACGCATGGGGCGGCAGATCCAGGCACCCAGCCTGCCCCAGGAGCCGCCCTCAGCAGCCTTACCTTGGTGATGCCCAGAGCCCCGACGTTCTCGCTGTAGGAGGTGGTGCCGCTCCCTGACCCCCAGGCCCCCGCCAGCAGGCAGCCGAGGCCCTCGATGCCGATGCCCCGGTTGATGGCGTGCTTCGGCGGGGGCGGGGCGCCCACCAGCCGGGCACAGGCGTAGTAATCACCTACCGACTCCAGCATGGAGGAGATCACCGCCGCGATGACCCCGAAGACCCCCGCCACGCTGACAGTGGGGAGGCCCCACTGCCCTGAAAAGGCAGCGCAGAGGGAATGTTAATTCAGAACGTAAGAAGCTGCTGAAGCCCAAATACTTTCTTTGCCAGAGGGGTCTTCAAAGTTTTTTTAAAGACTGGGCAGTGTGTCTTTCAACCCTCACAACTGTCCAGACGCTTTGGCCTGGATTCCTGCCTTACTGCTCCTCCCTGGGGGTGGGTCTGATGCCCAGGACTTGAGGTCACTGTGCACAGAAAGAGCCACCAACAGGTCTCTTCCTAGCAGGGCCTTGAAGTGACTGGAAGCTGAGAGTCTTAGTCAGGGAAGCCCTAGGTCCCCAGTCCCTGCCTGGAACCTATTACTCATACAGCCTGAGCCAAGACCCACGGAAAGGTCTCCCCAGGCCTCCCTTGTGTGAGAGGAGACCCAAAGGTCTGGCTGGGAGGTTGGGTTCTGAGCGATGTGCAGGGATGTACCCAGCTCCGAGCTCGGGCTCCCAGGGGATTCCTAGGACCACTGGGGTCTCCTTCTTCTCTCAGCAGTCTGATGCAGACTCCCTGAGGCCCATCCCTCCTCTCCTTGACAGTCGCCTGGAGAAGATCCCTCCCCCATCCCTGTTCAACTCTCCCTCCAGAGCGCTGGGCCCCTGGACAGTTCTGGCAAACTGTGTCCCAAGCAAGAAGACACGCAGTCTTCTCATCACCTGGGTAAGGGAAGCGAAACCAAGGCGCCCGGCTCAGGACGTTGCCTTTGGTGTCGGTGCGCGCCAGGTACCCGTAGGCTGACGGGTCCATGGGGAGGGCGTTGGTGACCGTGAGCATGAAGCAGATGAACCAGGAGATGCAGAGGGGCAGCAGCACCTGTGGGGAGCCGGAGTCACGCGTGCCAGGCCCCGCCCACCACACACCTGCCTCCCCGCCCCCGTCCCCGCAACCCGCCCCAGGTGTGGGCAAAGTAGGGTGCTCAGGAAAGCCTTGAAATGAGCGAGTGTTGTGCTGCTGACCCTTCCAGAGATGACAGGAATCCAGTGTGTCAACGAATAAATGAGCACACTAAAGGGACAGGTTAGAACAGAAACTATGGGGAGACTTTGTCAAATTGGGGCAGAAATGTCCAGTAAATTGGGCACAGCCTGGGCCAGAAGGTTGACGATATGGCTCTTTCCACTGTTTGTTGACCACGTGAACTTGGAGCAAACTCTCTGAGCCTCAGTTTTCTCATCTGTACAATGGAATTACGATCACTGCTCCGCAGAGCCTGAAACCCTGCGGGGTTTCTTAAATGACGCCGTCAGATACATAACTTTTAAATCTCTGGTGGTAGGACCCCAAAAACCTGTATTTTTGGCAAAGTCTCCAAGTGATTCTTATGTTCACTGAATTTTAGAATCACTAGCTTGCAGGGCTGTTGAAGGATCAATGAGATCGTTATGTGGAAATGCCTTATTTGAGAAATACAGTTTACCGTCAAATTAAACCTGGAAACATGTCTATGTTGTCAATAGCCACACCCATTTGACAGGGTGGTGCGAATCTAACAGGAAAGGCTCTGAAAAGGGAGGTACCATCATCATCACGGGTGTTCGGACTGCCAGAGAGCCACTGAGAGAGAACCCCAGCTAAGAGACTGGGCTGAGACCAGGCTGCCTCAGGCCCTCGGTTCTATGTAATTAGAGGTGAACTTGGCTGTCTCCCCCAGTACCCTGCTATGAGGACAGGCCAGGAGCACGAGCAGGCCGTGCCACATCCCATCCCAGAGCAGCGGCCTCGGTGGGCTCTGCGCTCCTGAGGGAGAAGTCGAGGGATGATCTCAATTCCACCCGCAGCCAGGGGCACTCCTCACACCGTGGCCTCTCCCGTCCTTCCCCCATAGGTTAAGGAAGGCCGAGGAGAAGAGGCCACTGCAGATGGGGGAGCGTTTGATCTGGGGCCACCTGGGCGCAGAGACGCTGCCCTGTGCTCTCCAGGTGAGTCAACTAAGAATGGAAGAGGGTGGGGGCTGCTTCTTACAGGGAAGGCCTGAAAGAGGTGGAACTTGGAGGTGTGGCACTTCTTCTCTCCTCCGTAAGCAGGCACGGGCACCGCGATGTTTTTCAGGTACTGAGAAAAGAGCACGATGAGGAAGATGGTCCTAAAACAGAAACAAACAACCACACCAAGCTGGAGAGCTGGGCCATATCCCGAGAGAGTGTCACATGAGGCTTCGGGGGTGGTTCAGGAAGCTGAGCCACCATGTGTCTCTGGGACCAGTGGCCTTGCTGGAAGAGTCCCCATCTGGGTCCCTCTCTGCAGTACAGACTCCTGCCATCTCTGAAAACGTGGCGGCGGGGGGTGGTCTAAGGGAAGTAAGCTGCAGGCAGCTGGTTAGATCCAGCAGTTAGAGCCAGTGAGGCCAGAGTCAGGGACCCGTTCCATCTTCCAGGTCATTCTGCAGGACTGATGGTCCCCACACCTCCCCTCAGACCACAAGGGACAGAGTGAATGAGAGTGTCCAGCATCATCCCCAAGTCCCTCCAAAGGTCAGTATAGGTCAGGCATGATGGCTCATGCCTGTAATCCCAGCACTTTGGGAGGCCGAGGCAGGAGGATCACTTGAGGCCAGGCGTTCAACACCAGCCTAGCCAACATAGCAAGACTCTATTACTACAAAAAATTAAAAATTAGTTGGGTGCCATTCTGTGTTACTGTAGTCCTGCCTCAGGAGGCTGAGGAGGGAGGATTGCTTGAGCCCAGGAGTTCAAGGCTGCAGTGAGCTATAATCACGACACTGCACCCTAGCCTGGGTGACAGAGCAAGACTCTGTCTTTAAAATAAAATAATAAAAATAAAAATAAATTTAAAAATAATTTTTAAAAAGATCAGTGTAGACCCTGAGGCCCAGCTGACCGTCATGACACTCTCCTCTGCACACAGACGGCACCCCATGACTGGCATCACTGTCTGCTAGTATTATAGGTACTGGTATTCAAGTCTTATCTCTCTCTTGGGCTGTTACATGCCTGAGAGCTGCGGTCATGTCTTTGCACCCTTTCCAGGTGCCAGAGGCTTACAGACATTTGCTTAACAAAAACCTAGTTGGCGACACAGCCATTGCAGTACATTGAGCTCCATAGAGACAGCGCCGGAGCAAGTGAGAGCCGGACGGGCACTGGGCGACTCTGTGCCTCGCTGAGGAAAAATAACTAAACATGGGCAAAGGAGATCCTAAGAAGCCGAGAGGCAAAATGTCATCATACGCATTCTTTGTGCAAACTTGCTGGGAGGAGCACAAGAAGCAGCACCCAGATGCTTCAGTCAACTCCTCAGAGTTTTCTAAGAAGTGCTCAGAGAGGTGGAAGACCATGTCTGCTAAAGAGAAAGGAAAATTTGAAGATATGGCAAAGGCGGACAAGGCCCGTTATGAAAGAGAAATGAAAACTATATCCCTCCTAAAGGGGAAACAAAAAAGAAGTTCAAGGATCCCAATGCACCCAAGAGGCCTCCTTCGGCCTTTTTCTTGTTCTGTTCTGAGTATCGCCCTAAAATCAAAGGAGGACATCCTGGCCTATCCATTGGTGATGTTGCAAAGAAACTGGGAGAGATGTGGAATAACACTGCTGCAGATGACAAGCAGCCTTATGAAAAGAAGGCTGCAAAGCTGAAGGAAAAGTACGAAAAGGATATTGCTGCATATCGAGCTAAAGGAAAGCCTGATGCAGCAAAAAAGGGAGTCGTCAAGGCTGAAAAAAGCAAGAAAAAGAAGGAAGAGGAGGAAGATGAGGAAGATGAAGAGGATGAAGAGGAGGAGGAAGATGAAGAAGATGAAGATGAAGAAGAAGATGATGATGATGAATAAGTTGGTTCTAGCGCAGTTTTTTTTTTCTTGTCTATAAAGCATTTAACCCCCCTGTACACAACTCACTCCTTTTAAAGAAAAAAATTGAAATGTAAGGCTGTGTAAGATTTGTTTTTAAACTGTACAGTGTCTTTTTTTGTATAGTTAACACACTACCGAATGTGTCTTTAGCTAGCCCTGTCCTGGTGGTATTTTCAATAGCCACTAACCTTGCCTGGTACAGTATGGGGGTTGTAAATTGGCATGGAAATTTAAAGCAGGTTCTTGTTGGTGCACAGCACAAATTAGTTATATATGGGGATGGTAGTTTTTTCATCTTCAGTTGTCTCTGATGCAGCTTATACGAAATAACTGTTGTTCTGTTAACTGAATACCACTCTATAATTGCAAAAAAAAGTTGCAGCTGTTTTGTTGACATTCTGAATGCTTCTAAGTAAATACAATTTTTTTATTAGTAAAAAAAAAAAAAAAACCTAGTTGGCAAGAGGCCAGTAGGATCCATGTTTTGTGAACACTAAGTATCCTCTAGTTATACTAGATCCACTAAGTATCCACTAAGGATGCCTGTGATTAACTCACTGTCTGTGAGCACGAACAAGATAATAATAATTAGCAGTAATAATTATAAGTAGCAACTTTGATGCTTCTTAAGTTATAACAATGTTTGTGAAAGTCTTTGTAAATCACACGAGTTTGCCAATATCCAGGACTCCTATTATTGTCACTGGATGATCATCCACCAAAGAGAACGCAGATGGCACTTCATCCCCAGGGAGTACTTACATGGCAGAAATCCCCCAGTGGATCCCGGCCTCACTGCTCACAGGATCGAAGAGAGGCAGGGCCACCAGGGAGATGGTCGGAGCAATGGTCAAGGGGCCGATGAAGCGCATGAGAAAGCCAATGAAGCCTGAGAAGCCCAATAGCATCTGGACACAGGAAGCCACCATGATTGTGCCCTGCAACTGGTGCGCAAGAAAGAGGTGCTCAGGCGCCTTAAAGCCTGAGGCAGGACTGTGGCCCTCAGCCAGCCCAGGCCACTGCTAAATCTGGTCACCGCTAGGTGGCAGTGCAGGGGGCAAGGCTGGACCCCAAAGGAACTGAAGGAAGGAGAGCTCCAATCTCACTCCTCCCTCCAGTCTGTTTTTCCAACTGCCTGTTGGATATTTTCACTTTACATGAAGTTTTTCAGGAGATGGGCTTCACAGTTACTGATTGACCATCGTCATGATGATGATGATGATGATGGTGATGGTGACTTATAACATTAGCACACTCAGTAGTGTATTCAACATCTTGCTGTTGTATTTTTCTGTTTCCTTACATTCTACTGCAGGGGTCAGCAAACTTTTTCTGTAAAGGACCAGAGAGTGACTATTTTAGGCCTCTTGGCCACATGGGCTCTGTCGCAACTTTTCCAGACAAGATGTGAACAAATGAGTGTAACTGTGTTCCAATAAAACTTTATTTATAGACACTGAAATTTACATTTCACATAATTTTGACATGTCATGAAATATTCTTCTTTTGATTTTTTTTAACCGTTTAAACTGTAAAAGCAGTCTTGGCTTGTGGGCTGTCAGTGCAAAAGGAGATGACAGGCCAGATTTGGCTCTTGGGCTGTGGATTGCCAACTTCCGATCTACTGGATTGAGTTCACTTTATTTCCCCTTTTTCTTTACTAGTTTGGATGTTATACCTTCTATTTTATTCTTTTAGAAGTCATTCTTAGCTTTTTAATGTGAATACTTAACAAAGTCTACAGTTAAGTAAGATTTCTAGCTTCCTCTCAAATAATACAATGACCTTAGAAAACTTTAATTTCTACCACCATCCTTCTGTTTTCCATACCATCATTGTCAAATATTTGTTTATTTTTCCACTGCTTTTGGTAATTATTACATTTTTATTATATCTTCCTATAATCAATGCTTATTTAGATTTACCTAATGCTATGAAGTGAATATTTGTGTCCCCCTAAAATTCATATGCTGAAGCCCTTACCCCCAATGTGATGGCATTGGAAGATGGAGCCTTTAAGATGAAATTAGGTTTAGATGAGGTCACGAAGATGAGACATAGACTTAGTGTCCTTATAAGAAGAGGACAATCTCTCTCTGTCTCTTTCCATGCACCAAGGAAATGCTATGTGAAAACATAGCTAGAAGGCAGTCATCTGAAAGCCAGGAAGAGGGTCCTCACTATACACCTGACCATGCTGGCACCCTGATCTCAGCCTCCGGAACTGTGAAAAAATAAATTTCAGTGTTTAAGCCATCCCATCTATGGTTTTAGTTTTTATTCTTGTCTCACTATGCTGTCCAGTCTGGTCTCAAACTCTTGGACTCAAGTGATCCTCCTGCATCAGCCTCCTAAGTAGCTGGGACTACAGGTAGGAGCCACCATGCCTATGATATTTTGTTGTGGCAATCCAAGCTGACTAATACACCTATATTTGTACCCGTATATTCCTCTGCTCACTACAGCTTTTTTTCTACCACTCTTTCATTTGAGATTTCATTTCCTTTCTACTGAAGTTTATCCATTAGTAATTATTTCAACAAAGGTCTGTGACTGATAAACTCTCTTTGTTTACCTAAAACTGTCTTTATTTTGCCATCAACCTTGCATGATGTGGAATTCTACAGTTGGGAACAGAATTCTAAGATGACAATATTTCCCCTAACAATCCGAAAAAAATCCAATGGCCTCCAACCTCTATTGTTACTAGTGATAAGGCTACTGAATGTCCAATTGCTATTATTTTGTAGGTAATTTTTCTTTTCTTTCTTATTACTTCTAAGATTTTCTCTTTGTATTTAGTATTGCAGTTTAATTAACTGTGGATTTACTTTTATTTATTCCCCTTAGGACTTGGTGTGCTTATTTTTAATCTCAG